TAATTACACGTTCCCTAACGTCTATTGTGTTACCACCGAGAAAAGCGCGAAGTATATAACATAAACGAAAAACAAAGTACGAGCGCACGGCCGAATATGTTGCCAAGCCATAAAAAGAAGCACGTCATTAAAAAAGACAATTCATTAAGAGCACGCCCGTGGCGTTCTCTAAGGAAAGGAAAGAGAAAGGCTAATTAAATATATCGTCAGCGTTTCATTTGACAAAACATAACAAGGTCGAGTCGTTCGCGAGTTTATATTTTTCACCCCACTGCGTCTAGGACAAAGGGCCGGGTGGATTCGGGATAATAATTTTAAGGAAACCGCCTGAGAGAGAGAGAGAGAGAGAGACAGTTTTTTTCTTCATAAAATAATGGAGAGGCTATGGCGGCGCACTCGACCGCCGAAGGAAAATACGGGGTCATAAAGTTGCAAATGAAGTAATATCGCAGCCGAGTTGACTTACTGCCGAAAACTTGGGAACTGCTCGGGCAGCCGGAGCTGACTTGGCACGATATACGTGGTAGCCGGTGTTTGTTTAGTTTCATTTAATTAAACCGACGAGGGGCCGTATAACAGCCGCTTCAATATTACGCTTAAACCAATAGTCGCCTCTCCAAGACGCTTTTATTAACTGAAAATGTACTTAAAACTTTCACAGCAGTTTTCACTTTATTTCATATTTTGGCGCACATAAATCACCGATTACGTTAAAGTAATCATGAACCTATATTATGTGTAAGATAAACAATTCTAAAGAGTCTACTCTGCAGAATGAGTTTAAGTATATTATCAAGAGATCTTTCAGTGTTGGAGTGCTTGAAATTTAACAATTGAGTGAATTAAAAAAGTTGTCGCTAGCCCGGGTTAACTATGACATTATTACTTAAAACAACTCAGTCTGCCCCGAGAATTTGTGAAAGCTCAAATAATTCAAAGTATTCACGTGGACTTCACAACAAATAATACGCGATAAAGTCCCTAAAATAAAATTTTCTGACTTTACCGTAAATATTTAAAATTTTCCCAGCTTAATTATTGTTTCTTTTTTGTTATTGAATATTAATTATTCTCAGTGACCGAGTACACGATAAATGATTTTAAGGAAAAATTAAAAAAATCCCCGTTGACTGATATCCAAAGATCTGTGATATTCGGGACTTTAGATAATTATGAAAATGCCCGAGACGGAGACTGAGGAAATTACTCGAATGCCATAAATAATTTATAGGGATTTGGAGCGGAGCAAGTTTTGAGTGCTTTTAGTTATTTCTACAAGGGGCTTTACAATATCTTCCGTCGAGGCCATCGCTTCAACAGGTATTGTTGCGTTTTAACAGGTCGAAATTCTAACGTTAATTATTTAACAAAAAATTTTATTCCTGATTTTGGTTTATTTTTATAGATTTTTGTCATTTACCCAAAGTTTGGCTAGACGTTTAGTGAATCTCGGATTGGACCATTATGTTACCTACCAATTTACCTGTTTTAACGGCACATTAGAATATATGTCTAAGTTAAAAGTTGACTATAAAAGAAAAGAAGCACATAGGGCGTGATACGAATTTCATTTCGCTGAGTTACATAACTGTCACAAAGATATAAATTAACCAAAATTGAGAATAATCAAAATCAAAATCAAAAATAAATTTATTAAAATAGACGCTTGCGCGCTCTTATGAATCGTCAAATTTTACATCAAAGATTATGTGTATAGGTTCGTAAGGTACCACCGGTTCGGAAAGCGGTTTCTGTTGAGAAGAGACCGCAAGAAACTCAACAGTTGCTCTTTTTCAAAAATATCAGGGTACAATATAATATACAGGTATAATAGTCTTATTCTAGCCTACGTGAGTATCAACAGTATTAACTCCACACATTGGCGTCGTCGAGATATTCCGAAATGGTATAATATGCTTTAATCATCAGTTGATTTTTAATTTTACATTTAAATTGGTCAAGCGGCAGACTTAATATCGACTGTGGGATTTTATTATATATGCGCACACTTTGCCCCATGAACGACTTATTTACTTTTTGTAGACGAAACAATGGCGTAGTAAGTTTGTCCTTATTTCTAGTGTTTATTTTATGTCTGTCACTATTCTTTAGGTAATAATTAAGGTTATGACGTATATACAAAACATTACAATAAATGTATTGACAAGCAAAGTGAGTATATTAACCTCTTTGAAAAGATCTCTGAGTGAATTCCGGGCTCCGATATTGTAGATTGCTCGGACAGCTCTTTTTTGAAGAATAAATATAGAATTTATATCTGATGCACTACCCCACAACAAAATGCCGTAAGACAAGATGCTGTGAAAATAACTAAAGTAAACAAGTCTGGCAGTGTCGATGTCTGTTAGCTGCCTAACCCTTCTAATCGCAAAAACCGCGGAGCTCAGCCTTTTCGCAAGAGATGGGGACTCCACTGGAGCTTTGAATCTACTGTAATTCCCAGAAATATAGCAGACTCAACTGGATTGATGGGTACGTTATTTAATATTAAACTAAAACTTTTCCTTCTTATACTGGGAAGGTTAAAAAGAATACATCTGGTTTTTTTGGCATTTAATACCATATTATTAATAGTAAACCAGTGGAGGATATGTGAAAGTGCACTATTCACGTCGTCATAATTTAATACGTTTCGGTCAACTTTAAAAATAAGCGATGTATCGTCAGCAAACAGTACAACATCACACAACCCACTGGCATAAAAGGGGAGATCATTAATATATACTAAAAATAATAATGGGCCCAAGATTTATCCTTGTGGGACTCCCATTTTCATCTGGGACCCAGCGAAATTAACATCATTTATAGATACTTTTTGAATTCTATTACTAAGGTTCTATTACTATTCTATTTCTATTCTATTACTAAGGTTTCTATTAATAAAATGAATAATAAATTTCAGCTAACGCGTATCCCGAACATTTAACATATAATCTATATATGAACAATAGCTCATAAACACAAATATAGTATATGTATCATTGCACTAAAAATGTTAGACGCCAAGTGTGCCGAGAATACGTTCGATAAGGAATTTAGTTCCAGCAAACATATAAAAAATAAAAAAATCAATGATACCGTTGTCAATTTTTTTATGTGATAAAGTGGCAAGCGAGTTGCAGGTTCGTCTGATATAAATTGATAAAATTTGCAGCTCCGATGCGTTGCCACCGTTTAATAAAACGGGCTCCGGCTACCTCACTCACCAGAAGTATAGCCCTTCCAAGCCGTTCTTCTGTGAGGTCGTGTTACTTCCCCGAACGGGCCTGCCCATTCGTGCAACAGCGAAGACTGTTGTGTGGCAAGGAATTATCAAAACTATTATTGATGCCGATTTAAATGTCCATATGTGATATAACGTTTTACGTTGGACAAAGCTTTATATTTATTTAAGCAAAAAAAAAGGTTTATATTTATTTAAGCGTGTGTATATTCCATACATTGTATATTTCATTCACATTAGTAATGTACTTGTTTTTTTTTTATTGCACCTACCACAATTTATCTCCACGCCCCGGGTTGACTGGAAAAGAATGCCTAAAGGCATTAAGTTCGCCCTTTGTAATCCTTGATTAAGGTAATTGCAATAAAGTATAAAAAAAGCACGTCAAACAGATCCAACTACGATTAAAATTTTATTAAAAAGAAAGTTATACATGCGACGGGTATACTCATTCTGCTTTCAATCCAAGCACATACGGAGTTTGGTTTTCGTTTAGTTATAATAGAAGTTAATGAAGTGAGTAATTGAGTATTCTATTATATTCGAAGAGGTCTTCATAAGTACTAAAGCTTCGAGCAAAACACGTGTTTACTTTTGGCTGAGAGAATTTAAACGCCCCTCGTTGAAGTAAATTTTGATACCGCTATGAGTTGATAAAGACGCAACGAGGTTGAAATTTGGTTTTAATATAAATAACTGACGAACATTTAGTAATTTAATTTATAAATCTACGTTGTAGGGTATCAAAAGCTTTAAACGTACCTTTCATTACCGTTATTTTAAAAGGTTTTATTTAGCTTGAATTGGGACAAAACTAATAATCAGTATTTCTTTGGCCATTATGGAGCTATTTAAAGCATTTCTCTAGAAACTTATACAATAACCAACCAGTGCGTGGTAAATTAAGTGCAAAATAGACCAACTCCAAATTATCTACTGTTAAAGAGCGAGTACTCCTTAAAGTGCTTCAATTAAAAAGGAACAGGACAATATGATGTATATGTGGAGCAGTTGCTAAGTTTATTGGCTTTCGGCGTCAGGGATCGTGGGTTTGATTCTGATACGAGACAAGTATTAGTGAGCCCCAAAGATAATTGTTCCGGATATAAGTGTTTGTTCCCAAAGAGAGTTGACGTCAGAAAAAGATCATGGGTTGTGTTTTAATGGCAGGAGTATGACAATGACCTAGGATTTAATTTTTTGGTGTTAGTCCACTTTTTTTTTTTTTTTTTTTTCAATTTATCACCGCGTTTAAGTCACCTTTTTTAATTTTTTATTTAGAAAAAGGATTTGACACTAACCAAGCTATATTTAAAAATATTCACGGAAAAAAGTGTTGACATACTCACTCCACATGTGAATGTTTAATTTCAACATATTTGTTGAAAGTTGAAATATGTTCGCAGTTGCTACACATAAAATCTTTACAAATTTTTAAATTTATACTCCTATTGGCGCTAAGGCGCTTATTTTTTATAGATGGCAGCATATTACAGCACGTTATAGTTCTCAATAAAGAACGTAGATGGCGCTTTCATAATTTTATTATTTTTATTATTTATATCCTTTTCCAGTATTTTTATTATTTAATTGTAATTAATTATTTGCATTCAATTAAAATCTGTTTTTTATGATGCCAAAAAAGTAAGTTATACTTCTTTGGCATCATCACGCGCGTACATAAGTACACGCAGCCATTTCTTTTGCTGTTCACGTGTTAAAGGTGTGATTCGCTGACAAAGCAATGTTCCCGCAGATGGTGACCACGAAGGCCTGACAGCGATATTCGGATCGGCTTCACCCGACCTGGCTCTTGCTTCCGACGCCTCAGACAGCCTGCCAATGCCCGACCACGATAATGGTGAGTGCTGTTAAACAACTCCTTTGGAAACGAAGAAATTTCTAGAAACATACACTTAGACCATATTCTTGTTCCTCTCAGTGACTTACAGTGTTTCTGTCATGCAGTGTTTATAGCTATCCTTCACGTAGTAGGTACTTCAAAATATGAACTTAATTTTAATTGAATTGAAAAAAATGAACTTAATATAATTTTTGAATCTTTCGTAAGATTAATTAAAACAAAAATACTATATTATTATATTTATATTCCAATGATAAATTTAACTGTTGCAATTCCACGCAGCAGTCTTCGCTGTTGCACGAATGGGCAGGTCCGTCCAGATAAGTACAACGAACTCACAGATGAATGGTGTGATATGAAAGTACTGGCGAGTTATTTAGCCAGTGGCAATGCATCTGCAACCCTACGGGTGTTGCAAATGTCAATGTGAGATTATCTCTTATCATCACTTGCCACCTTCACACAAAAAAAACTTGTATTCTTTTTTTGTTTGTGATATCAAAATCATTAAAGTAGGTTTTCCATAAGCTTATAATACAACAAAAGACATATTAAGAGTAATCATTTCGTAGCATTTTAGGTGTATTGAAGTAACAAATTATTAACATGCGAGTCATAAAAAAATACTTTTTTAACATAATAAGTTTTTAAATAAATTTTAATAAACATAAAAACTTCTTATACTTCGATAAAGAAAAAATTTGAAATGGTCCAACGATTTTCTCTAAATAGCTTTCCAATTATAACTAATAAGGGAGATGTTCGTTATACTGAACTTTGGATCTACAGCTACGGACTAACAATTTCCGATGTTTGCCAATACCGATCTTATTCGCAAGGTTAATATTGTATTTGCTGGTCCAACGACTTTAGGCAAATTGTTAGTTAGCGAATCATATGCAAATTGCGTCAAAGGATCAAGAGACAGACGCGAAATGTAATTAAGTGCAGAAATAAGCAACGTATGAGAAATTTACGTCGCTAAAAGAGACTAGAGCGGCACTAAGTGTGCTCGGGACGAATATTCACTTTAACTTATTTGGTTTGCGCACTAACGTGAAATTGGAGCAAAGGAATCCTTACATGCGTCCATGAACGTAAGTTACACGACAAAGTCTTTGCTTGCTTCACTTGATGAAATTCCTCGACATTGATGCACGGCTTCCATTTCGCAATCGAAGAAGGAGACTTCGAAGCCAGAAGAATTTTTTTATGTGATGAAATGTGGAAAGCGAGCTGGCTGTTCACCTGATGTCAAGTGATAACCGCCGCCCATTATCATTTGCTTTTCCACTTTATAATAAAGAAAGCCCCGCCTACCTCACTCACTAGACGAATCACAGAAGTATAACACTTCCACTTCACGCCGTGAGGTCGTGGCTATAACCCAGATGGACCTGCCCATTCGTGCATCAGCGAAGAGTGTTGCATGGCCCTACCACAGTTATATATATAACTAAGGGAAATCACCCTCCATCATGTCAAGACTTTGGAGTTCTAACGCAAAATAACCGCTTGAGTAATGGTAGGCATTAATTTATGCTGTGCGAATCGAGTAATGTGGTTTAAAGCATTAGGAATAACAGATCGTCGCGTTCCTTCTTCCCCTCAATACGAACTTTTGAGATTGATGAGTTCATCGCGGTGACACCCCGCGGGATTCCCTCACGGCGGTGAGAGCGAGTTTTATGGTCCAAGTACCGTAAAGTATAGATATAGGATACTTTACAACAATCGTGACGCAAATCTTCTCGAGTGTTTCGAAACCGAATCAAGATTCATTACTTTCAAGTAAGCGTGAAACAATTCAAACTAAATGATAAAACGTTTTTGTTGTTTATGACGACATGACATTTGCATGTTAGTCTGGTGACCAAAATTAAACTAGAAGAAATCCTGTAAATTATGTTTATTTTATAATAAACGATGAAATCTAAACAGCGAACAGGGCAACTTGAGTCCACCGGCACCTAGTTCGTGAGCTGGATAGTTTTATAATCAGTGTACTAGGCGCTTTTTTACTGAGAATTGGCACATTTCGGCTGTTTCTTTACTTTTTTTTTGACGCGGTAAACTACGGTGTAAACTTTCTTAGACTTCCGCAGCCCCATTCATGGCAAGGGCATACTCAAGCCCTGACTTAGTTCAGAAAAGTAAATAAAACGAAGACAGAACACTGGCCACAATGTTTCAGATGAAAATAACAGAGACGGTTACAGGCTGGCTCGTATAACCGTCACTAGTGACGCAATCTCCAGCGAGAGCACCGGCGCGCTCGACTCGCGGCTGCCATTTGTCATCCGCGTCTAAAATTTCAAAGCGAGTTTATTCCGGAGGGCAAAGCTATTCGCACACGACGAGCTGTTACAGACGTCGCGTAGTTCTGTAAGCTGAACTCGCGGCTCAACTAACGAACTATGAAACTACGTCACGTAAATTACAAGGAGGTTTCATTTTTAGACGGCTTTCACGGTTTAGATCGACTGGAGTGGTCGGTATTACATAGTAGGCTGGCACGAAGTAGTAATATAGAATAACATCTTTTAAGTCCGCTTATGCTCTTAGTATCCGATGGCTATATTGCAATGAGTTATAACGAACTACTTCCGTTAGTTTAAGCGCTTTGCAATTCATCATCATCATCATCATGTTTTCGGCCTGTTTGAGTCCACTGCCGAAGATATGCCTCCTCCGGAGTTATATTTTAATAATAGTAGAATTATATTTGATCTTTCTTTTCAAATTTTGTAAGAGCTACGGGAAATTACGGATAGTAGTTAGTAATGAAGCATTCGAATTCAAAATGAACTTCATAGTTACTTTAACTTAGAGCACTGACATAGCTGCATACCGGCAGCTTTCCTTTTGTCTTGTCAATACTCTTGAATTATCAGATATTCGGATGGCACCTTGGTCAGGAGATAATTAATTATCATTTTTATTACTAAGTGTTTTATACACAATCATTGGTGAATCAATGTTAGAGAGGTTTTCTTTATGACAGTGGGTGTTCAGAAATTGTACTCACATACAACAAAAATACCCTCACTAGTTTAACCACTCCGTTAATGAGCACAAAGCATATAAACAATGTGCTCATACTTAATCAAAATTAATATCAGTTAATTTATTCAGTGCGTATTAATTGAAAACTTTCGCGAGAATTTTCTTCTTTGAAACTGAGAACGAGAAATTTCTTGCGATCGGCGAATGATTTTCATAAACAGCCCCAGGCGACGGCTGTTGGCGTGACCAGGGCATATTATCGATCGCTCCCTTGCGTTGCCGGCTTTGTATGCTATTTGGTTCCGCAGCTTTCTCATAGGCCGCCACGTAATTCTAATAATGTAGGTACATTCTTACAGTATATTTCAACTTCAGTCACGCGTATAGAGATAAAATGTTTAAATCTCCCTCTCAATACATTTTTTCATAGTCAATTCACCGAAAATAATGTATTGTTACCTACTTATTACCTACTTGTTACCTACATCGTTACATACTTTTTTTACAGAATTAAGAAGTAATTATCAACAGAATATATCGAACAAATGAATCGTTTTAAGAACGACTCGTACGATATCAGTTATCTGACAGTCCAGTGTACGTCACAAAGAATTTCAATGTGGCATCATATTTCAAACCAGCATGTCTCTTCACGCGTTTATCCCTACAAAGCTCGAGGTGCAACCAAATGTCACAGCGACAAATAGCCGCAGCCCGCCTCGGACCGCCAACTAAACGTCTGTACGAGCCGCGATTGCTCAGACACATGGAAATATTAGAGCTAAGCAATATGAGTACAAAGGTTTATGTTTAATTTTAACCATGACTTCACCAGAGTGACTTTCTAATGAGTTTAGTAGTTTTTTTCCATTAAAAATGTATCATCGAGTGTGAAATCTATCCCCAGTTACAAATTACTCCTATGGTCCAAACCCAAGGAGCGTTGCTCTATGAACTGTCAAGTTAGCCAAAATAGTGATAAACTATTGCCACAGAAGTATTTTTGTATATAACTGCATTCAGATTGGAACAGATTTTGTACATACAATAGTTTTAATTTAAAAACGTGTAATGATAACAAAAATGTTTCAAATTAATATATATTGATGCAGAAATTAATTTCAAATGTCTCACCATGAACTACACGCATTTTAGTATATACCATTACCATTTATAACACATCTGGATATTTTATCAAAGTTGACATTCCTCTAAAGTAACAGGTAACTACAAATATCATACTTTAACGCCGAAATTCTCCCGCCCTGAGGCGTGTACAAACACCTTTGTATTTGTCACTCATATCTCACATGTCATGCAAAGTAAATTTATGTTTTAGAAATGAAATGTACGTACATGCAAGAGAAAGAATACAAGCTGTTCTGTACCGCGAAATTGTGAAAACTTTTAAATCGCTGACACTAAATCCACCGCGGAGGCAAAATGCATCTCTGTATAATTGAGTTTGATACAGCAATATTGTACCGCATGAATCTAAATTACATCTCATCTGTCCAATTTATTCACTTTATGTTCACGGCAAACGACTTAAATTTGTCAAATTTGAGACTGTCATCAACGGCACTGTTTGTTAAGAGATAAATAATGCATTCTTATTGTTTATGCGTTGGCCACTTACCAAAATTTATAGCGAACTCGTAAATCTTCTCGGAGAAATGCATTGGCACGAACCCCGAATGAACTGTATTTCAATGCGTTTCTTTTGCACCAGATATATAAGTTTAAAAGTGAGTTCTTTGAAAAACTGGTGTCAATAATGGGATTATTGACTTGCCATCAAGAAGATGGCTGGCTAATATCCCATCTTTTCCGTTCATAAAAAGATAATGGTGATAATCTGATTCCAAAATTGAAAAGCACTGGATCTGCGGTCAATTGCAAATACTTGGAATAAATCATAGTGCACCACTTTTTAAAACACCTAGACATTACTAATCTATTATTTTACCTACCGTACATCCAGTATGAAC